CTCGTCGCTGTTTTTTCTTACGATTCCGCATAACTGCCTACTTTTCTCGTCCATCGAAAAAATATTTCTATAAATTCCATTTTTTAACCGAAATGGATGGGGATACTTTTGTTTTGTAGAGAATTTATTTGCGAATTTTTTGGTACAAGAATGAATATTATATCACATAAACTTCTATGAGTAAAAAAAAAAATACACAAAGTATGTTTGGGGGTGTGGCGAGAGTGTGGCAGTGGGTTCCCTTTAGCCGTTGATATATCCAACACGTGGGAAATATTTGTATGTGTTATGTATATGTCTGTGTAGGGAATTTTACTGCGATCACTGTCATACAAATTATAAAATGTTTCAACAAGTATAAACATGACAAACATCAAACGAACGAAAACAATGCGTTCGTTTCTGCCACGAACGCATACTGAGCAACGTGGTTCTATATTTGGCGCTTCTCTTACACATGCTTTGTACAAATGTTATACAGTTCATCTTATAGAAAATTTTATTGCGAACACATTGGTATAAAAAAGAAATACGTACATAGAAAAGTAGGGTCAGGAAACGTATAAACTTTCCAAGCATGATTTCCCCCCTGTGTTTTCGCCAGTGCGCTCGCGGCTAACTACTCTCCACTTCACACACTCTTGCGGGTGGGCAATTACCTATATTAAACATTCATATGCATATGTCCGTGTAGAGAATTTTATTGCGATTCCAATGATACCAAAATTAGCGATGTAGGACAACTGTAGGCTTCGCAACCATTAAGAGAGTTATAACATTTTGTTGCTGTTTGGCGCTCTCGGCGAGTGATCTGCATAGTTTTTTATTTGGTGTTGATACTCCTTATGCTTGGGCGGCATTTTATAGGTATGCTCTTATAGACAATTTCATTGTGAACACAGTGATACCAAATTTATATACGTGCGCCTTCAATTATTGTCAGGACAGTCAAAAGAGTGTACACTTTTTCGGTCTTACCGCGTAGGCGCGCGAAGTGCCGAAAGCATCTGGGGTATTGTTTTTTTTTGAGCGCCGAGAGCGCGAAAGTGTTAACATTAAATTCCATTTGCAAAGTGGTGCTCCATATACTTATTTTGTCCAGGTCTTCTTGAAGGGCATGACAGTCATCTAAATTTCTTATCCTTCCTATTATCTTAGCATCATCAGCAAACATGTTCATATAATTCTGTATACCAACTGCTAGATCATTTATGTACACAATAAACATCATTGCGTCGTTTTCGGGGGTAAATTGGCGGTAGCTTCTGGAGGGGCGCACAGCGGTTTTGGATATTATATGTATATACTCTGGTAGGGAATTTCATTGTGAATACATTGATACCAAAATAAAAGACCTAGGACCAGAATTGAGGTAATAAAGTTGAAAACAGTATACCATTTCATTAGCGCTCACTGGGATTATGCTCCGTCACTTTCTCTGTTTGCTGTGGGTGGTACGCCTGGCTTTTGGACTTTATATCTGCATATACTCCTGTAGGGAATTCTATTGCGAACACAATGTTACCAAAATGAAAGACCTAGGACGTGAATTGAGATGTCCAAAGTGAAGAGAGAGTACACATTTTATTGCTCTTATGCGCTCCCGGGTATCTTGAGAGATTATCTTGAGATGATTTCGGGGCTTTAGTGTCCCCGCGGCCCGGTCTTCGACCAGGCCTCCACCCCCAGGAAGCAGCCCGTGACAGCTGACTAACACCCAGGTACCTATTTACTGCTAGGTAACAGGGGCATAGGGTGAAAGAAACTCTGCCCAATGTTTCTCGCCGGCGCCTGGGATCGAACCCAGGACCACAGGATCACAAGTCCCGCGTGCTGTCCGCTCGGCCGACCGGCTCCGTAACACGCACTCACTTTCTCTGTTTGTTGTGGATGGTACGCCAGGCTTTTGGAGTTTATATCTTTAGTCGTGTAGAGAATTCTATTGCGAACACAATGATACCAAATTGAAAAACCTAGGACGAGAAATGAGATGACAAAGTGGAAACGAGTATACACTTTTCAGTGTATTATCTCGCTCTCTAATGTAATGAGAGGCGCCTTGGGATGGCGCAGTACTCTCTTTCCGGGCCACATTCATCTGGTCGGCGGGTGGAGTGTGCTGTGGTTTTTTACTTCGTATGCATATGCTCTTGTTGGGAATTCTCTTGCGAACACAATGATACCAAAATGAAAGCCCTAGGACGGGAATTGAGGTGACAAACGTGAAAGGAGTGTACACATTTTATCGCTCTTATGCGCTCCCGGGTAACACGCACTCACTTTCTCTGTTTGTTGTGGATGGTACGCCAGGCTTTTGGATTTTATATGTCTTTAGTCGTGTAGAGAATTCTATTGCAAACACAATGATACAAAATTGAAAATCCCTGAACGAGAATTGAGGTGACAAAGTTGAAGAGAGTATACACTTTTCAGAACTACCGCGCGCTCCCATGAAATGCTGGGACCCACTACGCCTAGTTGAGGGATGGCGGGCTGGGACCGCCAAAGTGTTAAGTGGAAAAAGAACTTTTTCGTCCACTTCACAGACTTGCGCACGCACTCCACTGCACTGGGCATCGTGTCACATTTATCGACGAGGCGCATGTTCACGTTGTAGTCTTATGATACAGTCTGGTTTATAAATGGGGAAGCGTGTTTGAAAGTGGACTTTGCTACTGTCCAACATGGCATCAGTATGAATCGTAGTCAGCATATTCACCTCGTGACTGTCTCTCCACCGCTTTGATGGGATATACTGCTTGAATGCCAGTCGCCCCTTGAACAGTGCAAGCGATTCGTCGATTACCACATTCTGTCCAGGTACAAAATAATCGCAGAACTTGCCTCTCATGTCACTGAACACCTTCCGTACCTTCTGCAGTCTGTCGTGTCTGTCCTCACTTGCATTATTCTCGATATGTAGGCACCTGAGAATCAACAGGAACCTATCACTCGACATATATTGGTTGAACACGGGCGATGGAACAAGGGTGTCTTTGCTTCAATAATCCTGGACGACGGGTTTTTCAGAGTGCTTCATCATTATCATGATGCTGAGTGCGAGAAACACGTACATTTCGTCAATTGTGGTGTCCTTCCATCGCGTGAGGCAGGTAAAATGCCAACGTCTATGAGGCTTTGAGTGTATCGGTGTGTCTCAGTCACAAGATGGGTGGGTCATGAATTTGTTGTTGAAATATGCCAGGAAATAGTCTATTTCTGCCATATCATCACCTGTATATGGGAATAATGGTGTAACACCAACATCGGTAGCATCAAACGTTGGTATTTGTGGTACAATTCTCCCACGCAAGTACAACCGGGAGGTTGGTTTTGGCGCCACACCACGGCCAACACCACCATGAGCACCAAAAACACAGCTACATCGTCTGGTGCTGGAGCTGCTACAGGATATGGTAGGAGATAAGGCTGATCTACGTATCATAGGCCTACCACGAACACCTGATGTAGAGGGGCCACTGTTGTCATTTTCCCGTTGCCGCGAGACACGCTGCTGCCTGGCGCGACGTGTTGCTGAGGCAGCAAAATCCCGCCTGGTAACACCCTCGCTGCTCGTACTCGGGTCATCCACACTACTTGTATCGGAGCACTGAAGCACTGATACAGTGCTTATGTCACTGAAGCCTGAGAAAGATTCATCGCATGTATTATCACTGAATAAACTTGCGTCTGGGGACATACACGGTAGTGGTGGTGATGATAAAGGTGTTGACCCAGGGCGGCGAGGCAGGCCGGGCGAGGCGCGTGTACCGTACACTCTCCCTACATCATCCACCTCAGTCTCTCCCTCACTCGTATCAGACCTCTGTGTTAGGTCTTTCTCTGGATCATTGTCTAAGTCATCATACAAAATGTTGCGTATCTCCTCCTCAGAGTCGTTTTCCATGACCACGGGTGACTGTGGAGTGGGAGCTAGTAGACGATGCGTCAGTCATAGTTGCTATTTTGAAACTGAGGCTTCCCATGGCCGCGAGGCATGCTGGGATTTTTTTTCAAGATGGTGGACGATCACTGGGGCCCCAAGGCATCCATTTCGTACCCGCGTCATTACGCGTGAGTTTTGAACGGAACGTGAAAAACAAAAGTACCCCGATGTCGACGGCCTGCAGGCGCATTGCGCAGTTCAGTGGTTAAGGGCAATACGAAAAGACATAGCAGGGCAAAATCTCAACCTAAATTGCTGCACAGCCACATCATTTAGGGAACAGGTAATGAAACTGAAGATAGGGGCAGACAGTTTCACTACAAACAACAAGGAAGTGTGAGAGGAACTGGAAAAAAAAATCCAAGAGGTCTTCACAGTAGAGCAAGAAGTTCCAGAGATGAGAGGGGGAATAGTTAACCAGGCACCACTAGAAGAGTTTGGGATTATCAGTGGGGATGTAAGGAAGCTTTTGCTAGAGTTGGATGTGACAAAGGCTATAGGCCCGGATGGAATCTCACCATGGATACTAAAGGAAGGTGCGGAAGCACTGTGTCTGCCACTCTGCACTCATTTGACTTTCAGTAGTAGTTTCAACCAGAACAGAGGTTTGTTTTGGGATGCTTATCTTTCTGGGTGCCTGACCCAGTCAATGGCAGATATAGAATGCTCCATAAACACATGTGCAATTCTATAGGCCATTGCACCTCGTGCATCTCTTAAGGGGGCAGGTTCTGGCTTGTGGTCCCTGGTAGGCTTAGAACTCCATTCACTTTGACTGATGCCAAAGTCTAATATATCCATATCAGCCTGGAAAGCTCCGGGAACCCAAAGGGGCTACCCCCCAGAAATCTCAGGAGACTAATCCCTCTGCAATTTTGATGGTCATAGTGGTCATTATTTCTTTCACACAATACTGAAATCCCAGCTCCTCTCCAATCATTTGGGAAAGAGCTACTACTGTAAATCAGGCTTCATGGCAATTCTTTCACAATGACTTAATTTCTTTTCATTTATGCATTTAACTATAGTGTAGAATAACACTGCAAGTACTCACCTTTTGAACTATCATAGGGACAATTTTAACTTGACTTTCTCCAGCACCACGCTTAGCTTCCCGCAATCGAAGATTTTCCAATTCTCTTTTTTCACGGGCAATGCGCTCTGCTTCAGCCATTTTCCTGAAAATTATTTTGTTCCTGCATTATTTATAACTTCTTTACCTTCATATGGCTCCAATCACTATGATTACCTACTGTGCTTCAATCACCAAAAGTAATTTTTTAATGTTAGTTTTTGTGAAATATTTTTTGTCATGCATATCATGATGTGGGACTTTTACTTAAATGAGCTTTTACAGTTAAATGTTACTATATTGTCTCAGATTAACCATTTCAAATTTAAATAGTTTGATGGATATGGTAATTTCATTCAGTTTTAGAAAAACTAATAATAATTTTAATTATAAGTTGTACACCTGTAGTTTGTTGGGTCTTTTACATTTGTTCAGACAATAATACATTCAGTATGAGTAAGTGTGTTCTGGTAGAGCACATATTCTGACAATAACTTCAGTACCAATAATAATGACATCACCAAAACCTGACCTATGATAAAATATCGAGGTTACACTATAGGATCGAACCCTATCCTAAATAATCTCCAACAAGAAGAAAATACGTAGGAGCCGTGTTGAGGATTTGAAAGTAAGCACAGGGTGTTCCCAGGCACACGCCCCAGACAACTAGGCCACGACATGAAAAGGATTGCAACCTGGGGTCCTACTGAACCCTTGAGGGTTCCTGAGGCTTCTACTGAAGCCGAACAAGCGTTTCACACAGTCCCCCATGCTCTGGTTCTGTCATCTAGGAGACTAGGAATGTTCTACCTCTAAAGCTCCTCTTTCAATGCAGAGGGAAAAATCACACTAACGTGATGTACAATGGGGCCTCGACTTACAATGCTAATTCGTTCCCAGAGACGGATCGTAAGTCGAAATATCGTAAGTCGAAGCGATTTTTCCCATAAGAAATAAAGGGATTTGAATTAATTAGTTCCCCACACTCCAAAATATTAACATACAAATACATTTTATACTGAATACAATGTTTTTTTCTAACTACAATACAGTACCTAAGTTTATCTTACCTTTATGGAGGGCTCTTGATGGCATATGGAAGATGGTGATGAGGGGGGGAGGAGGAGAATTGTTACTGTTTGGAAGGGGAGTCCCCTTCCATTATCACATCAGGCAGTGATGTTTTCTCTGGGGTACTCTCTCTCCTACGTTTTGCCTAAATACCACTAGGACCTGGTTGTGGTTCAGTGCTTGTTTGTCTCACTACAATTTTGTCAAGAGACATTTGTTTTTCCCTTCATTTTAACATTTGTCTGTAATGATGCATCACTTTAGCACCCATAATGTCCTTTTTCTTAGCCAGTATGGTGGATATCATTGACTGAGATTTGTTGTACTGCCTAGCCAGTCTAACAACCCGCACACCATCTTCATATTTACGAATGATTTCTTGTTTCTGCTCTATGGTCATCCTTACATGGGATCTCACATGTTGAGCCTTACCACTGACTTTCCTGGGACTCATGGCATGATATATAATAATTACTTTAATGTTCAAAATGCAAAAAATCACCACAAAAGCGAAATTTCTTATAGGCGCGATCGTCACTAAGCAGGCAGCTGTAGTAAATTGAGGCAGGTCGGCCGCATGACCGGGAACCTCGCGCTCGGTCGACCCGAACGTGTACCAACAAATATCGTAAGTCGACGACACCATCAGATACCGAGTCGCACGTTTCTATGAAATTTACATCGTAACTCAAAATTATCATAAGTAGGGGCAATCGTAAGTCGAAGTGCCACTGTATCAATGAGAATATCCATTTTCTCAGTGATACATGAACATCACATTAGTGTTATTTCTCTCTGTGCATAGTCTCCAACAAGTGTGTTTCTCATAGTAGGTGAAAGAGGATTTAATTTACAAATTAAGTATTTTAGTGTCATTATGACTTGATGAGGGTCCACGAAAATTAGAAATCGGGCATTAGAATCAGTACATCATGGGATCCGAACCGAATACATGGAAAAATTTGTCGACAGTGGTTGAAATAGCAAGCACCTATTTTTCGTAAATCACTTTGCTAGCCTGACAGCGATGTATAAATTTTTATGAAAAATTGTTGTTAAAGACAAAGATCCCTTTAATTTATGTTCTAAATTAAATTTTTCAAATAGACACTTGGATCATTTAGCTCTGTGAAGACCACTTACCGCTTTTTCTCTTCTTGCAGTCTGCGTTGCTCTGCCATAAGCACACGCTTCTCCTCCAACTTTCTGGCCTCTTCAGCTCGTCTTTCTTCTTCTTCTATTACTTTCCTTGCCTCCTCTTCCTGCTTTCGTCGCTCCTCTTCTTCATGCTGCAATTATATTCATAAAACTTCATAAGCACACTACAATGGTGCAAATTTCTATACCTTCATGGTATAATTAGTTTACAGTCTGTATATTTGTTCATCAAATTGTTTCGTCATATTTACATGAAATTTGTTTTACCAGTATCTGTCTCACGACTCTAATGGTAAACTAAGCTTTGTCAATGGCTGTAGCATCTGTTCACTACAGCCACAACTATAATGACTTAAATTATTGATACGAGTAGCATATAAATATAGATTATTCTGTACAATATATAATTATAATGATTACGTTTTTTATTTATTTATTTTAATTATTTATATATATACAGGAGTTCTTAAATTCTTGTATAGCCACTAGTACGCGTGGCGTTTCAAGCAAGTCATAAATCCTATGTTCCCTGGAATACGGCCCCCACGAATAATCGTTTTTAGACCCAAATACCCATTTTACTATTGAGTTAAACAGAGGCTACAGTTAAGGATTTGTGCCCAGTAAATCCTCCCCGGTCAGGATACGAACCCAGGACAAAGCACTCGTGTAACGCCAGGCGAGCATCTTACCACTACGCCACGGAGACTGTACATAATATTAGGCTATTACAGGCGTACTATCACTTTATTAGGCAATAATGTACAGTATTTTATGTAAGCTCAACCATACATGTACAAACATTTATGAATGTTTTTAATTGAATTGATTTGAGAATATTAGATCAAAGGTGCTGGAATTAGTAAAATTATGCCCATGTTATTCAACTTGTTTTGTCAATTCCTAAGCCTTAGAAAAGAAGCTGCACAACATTCCATTAAAGCATGTTAGGCTATGACATATTTACATCAAAATGGTAACAAATGTCACAAAGTAAACATTATTTGTAATGAGCCCTTAAGTGACATTCATTGTTTATCATATTGAATGCCTGTGCATGCCTAATGGGGCATGAACCAGAACCCCACTCCTGCCTGATGGGGTTCTGGGAGTTGTTCTACTCCCCAAGCCCGGCTTGAGGCCAGGCTTGACTTGTTAGAATTTGGTCCACCAGGCTGTTGCTTGGAGTGGCCCGCAGGCCCATATACCCACCACAGCCCGACTCGTCCGGAACTTCTTTTAAAAAACAGTCTAGTTTTCTCTTGAAGATGTCCACGGTTATTCCGGCAATACTGTATTTCTTATAATTGCTGGTAGCACATTGAACAACCACGGACCTCTGATGTTTATACAGTGTTCTCTGATTGTGCCTATGGCACCTCTGCTCTTCACTGGTTCTATTCTACATTTTCTTCCATATCGTTCACTCCAGTACGTTGTTATTTTACTGTGTTCTTGCGGTTGTTCAACGTCCTACCAGCGAGCATCAGAAATATGCCGCTCCAAGCAACAGCCTGGTGGACCAAACTCTCTCAAGCCAAGCCTGGCCTCGGGTCGGGCTTGGGGAATAGAAGGACTCCCAGAACCCCATCAAGCAGGTGTGTAGATTAGGGAACTGGCCCTCCAGTATTTTTCCATGTGTATATTATTTGGTATCTCTCTTATCTCCTTTCTAGTGAATACATTTGGAGAGCTTTGAGACGATCCCAATAATTTAGGTGCTTTATCGCGTCATGCGTGCTGTATATGTTTTCTGTATTCCCTCTATTTCAGCAATCTCTCCTGCTCTGAAGGGGGAAGTGAGTATTGAGCAGTACTCGAGACGGGGCAACACAAGAGACCTGAAGAGTACAACCATTGTGATGGGATCCCTGGATTTGAAAGTTCTCATAATCCTTCCCATCATTTTTCTGGCTGACACAATATTTGCTTGGTTATGCTCCTTAAACGTTAAATCTTCACACATCATTATTCCCAAATCCTTGACATGCTGTTTTCCTACTATGGGGAGATTTGATTATGTTTTGTACCCTGTATTACGTTTCAGATCCTCATTTTTGCTGTACCTGAGTACCTAGAATTTATCACTGTTAAACATCATGTTATTTTCTGCTGCCCAATCAAAAACTTTGTTGATATCTGCTTGGAATTTTTCAATGTTCTCAGCAGAAGTAATTTTCATGCTGATTTTTGTGTCATCTGCAAAGGATGACACGAAGCTGTGACTTAGTGACTTATATTTTTGTCTATATCTGATATGAGAATAAGGAACAGCAGTCATGCAAGGACTGTATCTCGAGGTAGAGCTTTTAACTGTGTTTGGACTCAATTTTATTTCATTGACTGTTACTCTGTGTTCTGTTTGACAGGAAATTGAGTATCCACCGTCCTACTTTACCAGTTATTCCCATTGACCTCATTTTGTGTGCTATCACTCCATGGTCACATTTGTCGAATGCCTTTGCTAAGTCTGTGTATACAACATCTATTTTGCTTTTCTTTTAGAGCTTCTGTGATTTTGTCATAGTGGTTGAGTAACTGTGACAGACAGGATCTGCGCGCTCTATATCCATGTTGTCCTGGGTTGTGTAGCTCATTATTTTCCATAAAACTAGAAATTTGATTCATAATCACTCTTCATTCTTTCAAAAACTTTTAATTTGTGTGATGTTAGTGCAACTGGTCTTTAATTTTGTGCCAAGGCTTTGCTACCACCCTTGTGCAGAGGAGCTATATCTGCAGATTTAACACTTTGCCGCTTTGGTGACCTCAGCGGCGTCAACAATATTTCTACTGATTACGCTGGCGTGCCGTGCTAAAGAGTCACGAGAAAAAATATTTGTATAAATTCCATTTATTATCCGATCTACTTGGGGATAGTTTACAAAAGTTTGCCATGAAATTTACGTTTTCTCTACTAGCCGAACAGCTTATTTAGGAGAACGGCGTGGCAGTGAATCATCGTGGTAAAACAATTGTATTATTGACACGACGAGTATAATCGACGTAGTTTTTATATATGTTGCCGGTTGAACGCATCCTTATGTGACCTTTTATACTTATGTTCTTCTAGAACATTCTGTTGTAAACACATTGAAACAAAAATGAAATACATACATCGAAAAATAATGTCAAGACAGTGAATTGAATATACACTTTTTTCAATGCGGGTTTCGCCGATATGCCACCGCGGGTAACACTTCGGCCACTTTCCACACTGATTTGGGTGGGCTACGACATTGAATCTATATTTATATGCATTTGTTAGTGTAGAGAATTTTATTGCGATTTCAGTGATACCAAAATTAACGCTATAGCACAACTGTGGGCTTCACAACCATGAAGAGAGTGGAAACATTTTGTTGCTGTTTGGCGCTCTCGGCTAGTGATCTCAATAGTTTTTTATTTGGTGTTGATATGCCTTATGCTTTGGCGGCCTTTTATAGGTATGTTCTTATAGACAATTCTATTGTGAACACAGTGATACCAAATTTAAATACGTACGCCTACAATTAGTGTCACGACAGTCAAAAGAGTATACACTTTTCGGTCTTGCCGCGTAAGCGCTCGAAACGCCGAAAGCATATAGGGTATGGAGCCGGTCGGCCGAGCGGACAGCACGCTGGACTTGTGATCCTGTGGTCCTGGGTTCAATCCCAGGCGCCGGCGAGAAACAATGGGCAGAGTTTCTTTCACTCTATGCCCCTGTTACCTAGCAGTAAAATAGGTACCTGGGTGTTAGTCAGCTGTCACGGGCTGCTTCCTGGGGGTGGAGGCCTGGTCGAGGACCGGGCCGCGGGGACACTAAAAAGCCCCGAAATCATCTCAAGATAACCTCAAGAAGATGGCTTTTTTTCAATAGCCCGGCAGCGTCAAAGTGTTAAGTGCAGCTGGTATCTCCCCTGTATCCAGGCTCTTTCTTCATATTACAATGATTGCTCGTGCTACTGGTACTTTACATTTCTTGATGAATATTGAATTCCATGAGTCAGGCCCAGGAGCTGAGTGCATGGGCATATTGTCAATTTCTCTTTCAAAGTCTTCAGAGTTTGTGTTAATATCCGTTATATTATCTGCAGCTTGAATGTCATTCATAAAGAAGCTGTCTGGGTCATCAACTTTCATGTTGTTTATTGGTGTGCTAAACAGCCTCATACTGACTTCTTGGAATTTCACTAATTTCTTTGTTGTCCTCTGTGTACGTACCTTCAGTTGTAATTAATGGGCCAATACTGGTCGAGGTTTTTGATTTTGATTTTGCAAATATATTTTGAAAATATTTTTTGACCTGAAAAAATATTTTGGATTTTTCTTTATCTCTTGTATAGATTTCTGTTCCAATTCCATTTCCTTAGACTCATATGATCACTTCAACGTTTGTTCTATTTCTTTGATCTCCCTGTTTAGACTTATTTTCCTTTTTTGTGATATAGTGGTGTCTGCCTAAGCATTTCCATTATTTTTTTTCCTTCTCTTGTACAGTCGACTGTGTTCTCTTTCTAGAGTGGTCCTCTTTCTGACCCTCCTCACAGGCACATGCTTCAGCTGTCAGTTAAGCGATTCCCTGTGTGGAAGTTTTGTCATTGAAGACCGTCTCCCTTTGAATGTTTGCAAGGTCTACATTTATTTTTTCCCAGTCGATCCTCATTGCTGAAAATTAATTGATTGAATACTCCTCCTCGCTTGTTGGGTCTCTTAGACCTACTACCATTATTTATGCTAGTTCGCACTTCAATGAGCTTATGGTGCGAGTATGTAGTATCTGAGATTGCAATGTCTCTGATTAGGTCATCAATGTTTGTGAATAACAAGTCTAGTGTGTTTTCGTTCCTAGTGGGTTCTGTAATCTATTGATTGAGCAAGAATTTGTCACAGAATCTCAAAAGTTCTCTGACCTGTGGTTGGTTATTTCCTGCTATGATATTTGTGTTTGCCATTCTCCATCTTAAACTTGGTAAATTGAAATCTCCAAGGAAGATAATATCTGGAGCTGGGTTTGCTTGATTATCAAGAATGTTCACTATTTTGTGTATCTACTCTGTGAATTCCTCAACCGTAGTATATATATTAAAATAATAATTAGGTTTATTTTTTCTACCTTAATTCCAGGTACCTCTACCCCCTCATTAATTAAGTTCAGTAGCTCTGTGCATACCAGGACCTCTTTAATATACCGACCTACTCCTCCATTTGACCTAGTTTCTCTATCACATCTATAAATTATAATTTGGAATCCAGATTTCACTATCCATGTAATCTTTCGTATGAGTTTCCGTGAATGCCCCAAATATTGAGTTTGACTCTAATAGGAGGCCGTTTATGAACTTGGACTTTATTTCTTGATTTTGACTTTAGGCCTTATATGTTTGGAAATATGAATGATTGTCCATATTGTGTGTCACTTCTGGAAGGTTTTGGTAGTTCTCCCCTCCTCTCTACCCTGACCCAGGGTGTGCTGGTTTGGCAATGGTTTGTTCAGTCTCCTAGCTATAGTACCTAGTGATTTAATAACTCACCATTCCAGTATTGTTATACTTGTTCTTCAAGCTGTGAATAGTGGTTTCTTCTACCACTTCTTGTTCAAGTTCATTACTCAAGTAGAAACTAAGTAACCAAATGAGTCACAGATATATTAGAAAGAATTTCATTAATGTCAGCAGTGAACACACACATAGGTAGGTAATTATCAGGAGAAAGCACTAAGCCATTACAACTACTGTATATAGAACTTAGAAAGGATAAGGATTTGGGACAAGATTGGAGGAAAGGAATTATGCCCAACCACATGGACGACCGGGGATTGAAAGCCGACCTGCAAGAAGCGAGACTATCACTCTACCCTCCACTTCAAGTGGCTGGGCATCATGGTGTTTTCCCTGTACCTGTGGTTAGTTTCCACAGATCTTCTACTCCAGCAGGCAGATTTTTTTTGGTTTTATTTGACAGCACTAACATTGAGATTTAAAAACGTACTCCTTACAAGAGTTAGAAGACAGATCACAAAGGGCTAGACTCCTTCCTGTGGCAATTGAGACAGTTGTATTGAAAAAATTTCATTCTAGTAATGCATAAATTTGTCTAGTGAATTCTTTTAGCTTGTTATAATGTAAGTATTCCCCTTTCAGCCGGGAACAATGGCTGCTTCATAAACCTACCTGTTCTCTAATCTTCCGAATTTTAGCCTCTTCTTCTGCCCGCTTCTTGGCAAGAAGTTGTTGTTTTTTGCGTTGCTGTTCCTCTTTTAGCCTTTCCTCCCGAATCTTTCTGTCTTTCTCCTGCTGTTCCTGTGCTTCTATAGCTTTACGTTCTCTTTCTTCACGGGCTTCTTGTACTCGTTTCATCCTCTCCTCATTTTGTCTTAAAATAAATTTGTTGAGAATAATTAAAACATTATAATATGGCTGCATTTTAAATAATATTCATAGCAATAAATAATACAAATGATCATGTACAGTCAGATATGGGTAATGAAACAAAGCTCAGAAAGACTATAATCTATAAAGCACAATAAAATCATAACACATCCCATCCTCAGACCAAGTCCATTCCTTCCAGTGGTCGACCCCAAAGACGCATACATAAATTTAAAATGCAGTTCATTCAAAATAGGAATTTTCTCAAATATAAATTATTATTTTATATTACTATATTGCACACATTTAGGCACTGGTTAGGTTAGGTGTTTACGTTCTGTTGGCGATTATTTGTATTTGTAGTACGTGCATGAAGCATTTACAGTGTTGTGGTTCGAACAAAATTCGCCAGTGAAGCACTTATTCCGGAAGGGCTCAAATGACATCAGTTGTGAGTCGCATGTAAACCATTTTTCATTCATACACAGAGGGTTTGGCGGGTGCATGGAATGGACTTTGGGTCTTTGTTTAGAGGACAGGCTGCATAACAACATGATGAATCTATGAGAAAATATTGAGACCATTCAATGGGACTGAATCTGCATCCTGGACTCTCAAGTAACATATGCTTGTTACTTGGTCCATGGATGCAGGTTCAATCCCATTTTATGGTTTCAATATTTTTTCACCAAGATATACATTAAAAAATAAATAAAAAAATAAATTAAAAAGAATGACACCTAAATAAAACTGACAACCTCCATTAGCTGCATCTTTGCATGGCTAGAAATGTGGAATTATGAATATAGCAAATGGATTTGGTGATTTTTACAGGTAACAATGTTCTTTTCATATACAAAATTTTTATAATTCAAATAGGCTGATATACCAAAAACCATACCAGCCCACACCATAATTGAGAAATTAGGCAATGATACCTAGTTTTGGTACACTATAGTACAGTGTAGTACAAAAAAAGACTAATCTACAAGTCTCCTAAAACAAGAGACTAAATTCAGTCACTATATCTCCCTTTCAAATATAACATTTTTAACCGCCCAAATTCAGGAGGGGGTTTCTTGTCTAATCTAGATCCTAAGGCAATGTAATTTCCTGCAGATCCTTCTTTCTTTTTCATCTAATGTTTGGCAATACATAGCCAGAATGGGACAAAGTTCCAGAAATCTGGATATCAGGCAAATCTGAATTAAGTCTTGAATGATATAGAACAGATTTTGGAGGTGCATTTTTACTTGTATTCAACAGCAATTGCATCCTGCAATGAAATTAACATTGAACTGTTAATATAAATGCAACCTAGAATCAATTAAATTGGGTGAAGCAAACCACAACTGACCTTTTCTTCTCTTCTGCTCTCATTTTCAGTAATTCTTCCT